CTTGTGTAACTGTTTAAAGTGTTACTAAACCAACAACAGTAAAATCAGCCTGTATATGCAGCAAAGCATGCTTGTTATACTCACAGTAGAACCTACAGGGTTAATTATTATTATTATACAGGATTTATATAGCGCCAACAGTTTGCGCAGCGCTTTACAATATAAGGAAGACAGTACAATTACAATACATTTCAGTACAGAAGAAATAGGAGGGCCCTGCTCGTGGAGCTTAAAATCTAAAGGAATCCTCTACATTGTGTAAAAGGCTATTTGATCCTCTCTTCTCTGCCCCTCTTCTTGTTGAAATGACCACCTGATACAGACTGAATCCGTAGTCACATGCACATGCTCAGTTTGGTGCGTATTGCTAGAGAGGGTTTTTTTTTTTCTCTGGAGAGTGCATGTGATCAGCACAGGACCAGTCAGCACTGTCCAGACAGAGGGTCAGGGATTTCACATCCTCCTAGAGCAGAAAGAAAACTCCTCCTACAAGCTTTAACCAGTGCTCTGCTGAAGTCACAAGGCTGCTCTAACTGCTGATGAGAAAAGGTATTTAGCAGTTTATATTTACTAAAAGTATTGCATTTCCATGTTTTCTGTACTGTGGGAGACCAGATATAGTGAATGCAGGGTCCTGGGTTTAGTATCACTTTACCTAATCTATATTTATATAACACAAGATATAAGGAGAGCGCAGATAATATGGTAGCTGCTAGCACAAAAGGCAGGTAAATAGTTAAAAGTAATCCACATGGATACAGCAAAAGGTTAAATGCATAAAAGCATACCAAGATGGCCGCTGCTCCGAACTCCGGGTTCGATGGCGTGACGTCAGCACGTAAGGTTCACCCAACTTGTTTTGTGCACATGCACGTCTTCAGAGACACGCAGCACACAGTTAATCCTTTGATCGCCCAAGATGTGTCATTAGTACAGTGTAAACAAAAGTATAACGTGGTTTTTTTTTTGGGTTTTTTTTAACAATTGCTATAACTGCAAATAAGGAACCTAAAATTGTTTCTCTCACTCCAGCGTGCACGGCAATACCCAATATTGGGTCATTGTTTACATACACATGCATGGCATACGTGCACGTTTGCATTTGTATGTTTATACAGAGCATGATAAGGGTGCTTTTACAGTACTTTTCTTTATTATTATTATATTTCACATTTTTTACAGCTCTGAACACAGAAGTGCTCTTAGCTGAGCACTTCTAGGTTAATACTCTACAAAGGTCATTGGAGAATGGGTATTGTTTGCTCCCACCCACCGTCTGACACTGTTGTAGTCCCAGGCTCCCAGGTGGAGTATGAGAGCCTGGGAACCACAGAAGAGGCATCTGGCAGTAAAAGTGATTGGGTGGCTTTTGAGCCACCCGATCACTTTTACCTAAAAGCTGTGAACCTACTGAGAAACAGAAACAAATTCACAGCTGTAAGCTTGTTTTGACCTTTTCAGTGTCTGGCCATAAAAGAGACCTTAGCTGGTTAATAGAAAAATGTTTAATCAATATAAATATAAATTATGTATACGTATAGTTTATAATATTGTTTTGTAATCAAAGCAGCTTTGCTATCTCCAACAGTTTGGATTTTTTTTGGTATAGGCAATGGGAGTCCACATAGCAGGTCATGTCACAAACTGTACACAACCTGCTTTTTGCAGTTCCAGCATTAAAAATAATTAAACAATTCATGTTTCAAGCATTAAATGACTTAGGCAGCTTGTCTACAGTAATTAAATAAGCCCTGGCTCTGCTATAACTACACATCAAGTCAATTTCTAGCAGGAAATTTGGCTTTGTTTCCAGATCCACAAAAAAAGTAGCCCTTACTTATTAAAAAGCTGTATACAGCAACACACACACACACACACATGCTCTTTAGAGCCAGGTGCTCAGGCTTCCCCAATGCTTAAGAGAGTTGAGGTCCCCTGTATTTAGAACCAGCATGCTCATGGCAAAATTGGTCTTGGATAGGCTAAGTACTCTGGAGCAAACTGCACTCTTTCCTTACCAAACTAGTTTTCCCAGTGCTCCTCTTACAGTTTGTACATGGGGACATCCTTATTTGATTATTATACCTTCTGTACATGCTGAATTAAAAATACAAACAGTAACTGATAATATATCTCAGAACGGGAACTACATAAAACCATTTTTTTGTGGATAGAGTGGAGAAGATACTTACAGTATATCCTTTGCCTTTCTGTACAAGTACTCACAAAGGAAGAAAGAAGAATCTTTGCAGGCTAACATCAATAGCATAACATGGATTGCAGCTTTCCTTACTCTGTTGAAGAAAATGTTTGCTATATAAAAGAATTTCTAAAGCACTTCCACTATTTCCAGGTTAAAAATAATGAAGTCCTCAATTGTAAATTAAACTCCTACATTTTTTGGGGGGAGGGGTGTCAAAACTCACAGCCCACAGTCCTTAAAGTGGTTCTAAAGAGTTGAGGTTTTTTTGCCTTTATGCATTGAGCTAAAAAACCTGGGTGCAGTTCCCCCCCCCCCCAGTCAACCCTTATATTTGCCTGATCCCCATCTCAATCCAGCAATGTGCATGAGAGCAGAGGCTCCGTAGGGTCTCATTTTCCTCATCTCACACAACGGCTGTAGCCATTGGCTCCTGCTGTTGTCAATCACAGCCAGTAAACCAATGAGGAGAAAGGGGGGGGCAGGGCAAAGCTGCGCTCTGTATGTCCCCATGGCAAGAGGCTTGCTATTAGGGGGAGGAGCCAGGACCTCCAGCGGGGCACCCAAAAAGAAGAGGATCAGGACTGCTCTGTGAAAAACCTTTGCACAAAGCAGGTATGTATAACATGTTTGTTATTTTAAAGTGGAAGTAAATCCAATTTTTTATCTTTTACCTACAGGTAAGCCTTTAATAAGGTTACTTGTAGGTACTATAAATATCTCATAAACATGCACCATTAGTGACGGCATTCCGTCCTTTGAGAGAGCCATGCCCGGGCCAAAACTCCCACGCTCATGCACTGCAGTGATGACATTGCAGCTTGGCCAATCAGGTGGCCACAGCTCACAAACCTGGAAGGCAAACCAGATGAAGATAGAAGCCTTGGGAGCCATGACAGCGCTCCGCTGGAGGGCTTTGTTTTCAGGTCTTTTAGAATGCTCTTAACTTGCAGGGAGAAGATATTTTAGATTTTTTTTTTTTTTTGCGGTTTACTACCGCTTTGATAAAATCTTTCCTTTAGAATCACATTAATCAAAGCTGACTAAAAGCATTACCCTTGCAGTGGGTCTCCATCCCTACTGCAACCTTATTCCTTATTTCCCCAGCAGCTGAAGCTCTCCTCTACTACCTAAGGTTCCTTGGTGATGGCATGCCCTTTGCATTAAAACTAACTTTCCTTTTCAATCTGCAGTGTTGTAAGTTTCTTTAAAATCCAATGCAATATAACATCCTGTAGGCATTTTGTACACAGATAGCGTGCAGAACTTCCGCAGTGATGTCATTTCCTGCTTGTGTGATAGGCTCACTGATGTTCCCAGAAGTCTGCACTAAGGTACAAGTTAGATTTTAGGCATCCTCTGGAACAAAAAATTTATTTTTGGTGAGACCCTCCCCAAGAATGAATTACTTCTAAACAGATGCAGACCCTATAACTTTCCTCCTTAGAACACCGCAAATGCATCAGCTGATTATTAAGTAAAAGGTAACTCCCATTCAGTTTCACTCTGCATAGAACAAACAGCTATTTCTTCAGAACAGAAACAGGTAGAAAATTGCAACAAAGTTTGTAAAATCCTGGCAATAAACAGAGTGGATTTTTTTTTTCCGCAACAAAAGTGGTGTTATTCTTTAAGTAAGCACAGAAATTGTTACACATTATTGTATTATACATGGGAACATGTTACTAGCAGACAGCAAATGATGTGTGAGGGTCTGTGTGGAAGATTGCCAACCTTGGCTATGCCCTACTATATGTTGGCTATGGAGAAATCTGGTTTGATGATTGCTTTAAGGCCCAACTCCAGGATGGGAAAAAAAAATTCTGCAGTGGGGCGTCCCCTCACACTATTAGCCCTGTCTTGTATGTGAAGGAGGCAGACATTTGATCATGATTGGGAGCACCTTAGAAAGGAACACAAATGTAAGAAGAAGCCTGCTGGAGTATGGTGTAAGGTAAGTACTTATTATTCTTTCTACCCCAGTCCAAAACAGATTGCACAAAACACAAAAACACTTCAAGTTCATAGAGTGTTTCCTGTGAATCTACTTGTGCAGTGGATCTTCAAAAGCAATGGAATAACATCCTTCAGGTATGCTTCATCAATGCAGCCCACCTCAGATCGGGGAATCTAGTAGGCAACTGTAAAAGAACACACAGAAGGCCGCACACGCCTGGTGCATTACCGAAGGTTTATTGCATAACACAAATCATACAGCTACACTGGGTTGAGATTTAGTGTCATAAAATGCCTGTATACATTTATTTTGTTAGTATCCATTTCGCTGTATGTTTTGTTTTATACAGTGATCCTTTGGTCATGCATTAGATCCTGAAAACCCATCTCTTCAGAGAAGCCTACCCCTCCCTCACCTAACTGCTGATCTCCTCCGCTCTCCCCACCACTCCATCCCCCACAGCTATTTCCTCCTGTACCACTAATCCCTCCCTCCTAGATTGTAAGCTCAAAGGAGCAGGGCCCTCGAACCCCTCGTGTATTTTATTGTATTGTTACTGTACTGTCTCATGTATTGTCTCCCATTGTAATGTACAGCACTGAGCAAACTGTTGCCGCTATATAAATACTGTGTAATAATATTAATAATAATAATAAAAAATGTGTGCCCTCCTTGTGCTCTTTTCCAGTCCAATACGAGCATGGGGATCACCCTAGACTGGAAGGGTAATTTTTTGTGCTTGCAGTTGGGCTTTAACGTGGTGGACCTTGATCTTTTTTCTACTTCACTATGTTTACAGTTTATTAATATTTTCTCTTTTATTTTTATTCACAGACCACCACTCTCATTGGACTCTTGAAGACTGCACGGCTACTTCGCTTGGTCAGAGTAGCCAGGAAGCTGGACAGATACTCTGAATACGGTGCTGCTGTCCTTATGCTGCTAATGTGTATATTTGCATTAATTGCTCACTGGCTTGCTTGCATCTGGTATGCAATCGGCAATGTGGAACGACCTTACCTAATTCACAAAATTAGCTGGCTGGATGCCCTTGGTGATCAAATAAAGAAACCGTATAATTACAGCGACCCCAGCTCGGGACCATCTATCAAGGACAAATATGTCACAGCACTTTATTTTACCTTCAGCAGTCTGACAAGTGTGGGCTTTGGAAATGTGTCTCCCAATACCAACTCGGAAAAAATCTTCTCCATTTGTGTTATGTTGATTGGCTGTAAGTAGAATCTGTTTTGAGAGTAAATATTTAATGCTTTGGTCAGCCCTTGCCGGAGAAGGACACAAAATAAAATGTCTCTGCAAAGGCAAATTACTTATGTAGAAGATATAAAGAGTGGCTGCAATTGTAAACAACCCCCTGAATCTCACTCCTTTCACCCTTCTTCTCAAATACATAAATATGATGACAGATTTCAGGCTCATTAGCCTCCCTAGCGGTCTGATTATGTCCATATTTCTGTGCTCAAAGCGGTACATTTTTTTGCATGGAAATATGTATTTTTTTTATTTTAGGCCTGTAATTTTTAGGAATAACTCACTGAAATATGTCCAAACAAGAGTCTGGTAAACATCCCGGGTAGGATAAAACTTGAAACACGAAATCATAGATTATAATTTAATACATAATCATAAAAAATAATAATATAATAATACATTTTATTCAATAATATAATCAAACCAAAAACACTGAAATTTGAAATATAGCACCAAGTTCGCACATCACTGAGCAAAGTCGCAAAATCGTTTTCAGTGTCCGATGACGATTTCCCCACGAATCATCACTCAATTCTGCAAGTAGTTCTGATTTACTATTGCTGTATTCTAGCTGCTCTAAAACCGCTTTTGACTAAATGGGACGCTTTTTGGACGCCATGGACGTTTCTCAGTTTCCAGGCAGAAAGAACAGTAAAAATGCAGGCAGGGCACAGGACAAAGCACTCGGGACAAAATGTATGTGAAATGGTTTGATACAGTAATATTTTACTATGAGATTTTAGTGATTTTAGTGAATGTCACTTTTTGTCATTTTCAAATTTCACATGCTCAGTTTGCTGTGTATTGCTAGAGAGGTTTTTTTCCTTTTCTTGGGAGAGTGCATGTGATCAGCACAGGGCCAATCAGCACTATCCAGACAGAGGTCAGGGGTTCTGCATCCTCCTAAAGCAGAATGTAAACTCCTCTTTCAAATTTTAGTATGTGCTCTGCTAGAAACTGATAGAAGTCACAAGACTGCTCTATCAGCTGATGAGAAAATGTATTCAGCAGTTTATATTTACTAAAATAATTGCACTTCCATGTTCTGTGTACTGTGAGAGACCAGATATAGTGAATTCAGGGTCCTGGGTTTAGTAACACTTTAATTGAAAAAGCTGAAGTTAGAAGCTGATTGGCTACCACGGCTGCACCAGATTTTGCACTCTCCAGTTTTAGTAAATCAACCCCAGTGTTTTTAACCATACTACTTCAGGTGCACAAGATGCTCCTGAAGTAGTGTAAATGGAAAGCTGGATTAAGAAGATGGAAATGGGGTGCAGAACCCATCAAAATGAGCAAGAGGAGAAAGTGCAGAGTTAAAAAAAAAAAAATACAGCTGATCCCTGAGAGCACAAAGAAGCACAAATGAGGAAACATAGATGGAGCTGCCAGAAATATGCTCTATTAAAGCCAAAGTTTATTTAAAAAATTTCAGTTACTTACCTGTGATAAGGTACGTCCCACAAAGTACAGAATGCTGTATTCTGAGAAATCTGTACTGAAGGGCTCCTCTGTCCTCTTCCTGCTGCTGAACACCCGGCACTGTGGGGGCTAACAGCTTTAGGTCTCTGGGCTTGGCTGTACTAAAGATGATCCAATGAGGACACCCCCCCCCCCCTCTGCTGCCCTCTCCTCCATTGAGAAAACCTCTTTACCGACCACAATGTAGGTAATACGATTTAGAAATGGGAGGGTTTTCTCAATGGAGAATGCAGAAATGGGTTCGCCCTCATAGGATTATCTTTAGTGCAGCTGAGCCTGGAGAGCCTGGAGAGCTGAAGCTGTGAAGCCCCCCACAGTGCCAGAAGTTCAGCAGCAGGAAGAGGACATAGCAGTCCTTCAGAGAAGGTTTCTACAGAATCCAGCATCCTAAACATTGTGGGACCTACCCAGGGGCGGACTGACAACTCATGGGGCCCCCGGGCAATAGGGGATCATGGGGCCCCTGTGTCCTTGCCCACACTCAAACCACACCCAAAAAATCCTATGAAAGGTACCAGGGGCATCTCATGGGGCCCCCTTCTGACCCCGGGCCCTCGGGCAGTGCCCGAGTTCCCAAATGGTCAGTCCGCCCCTGGACATACCTCAACAAAGGTAAGTAACGTTTGCAAAAAACTCTATACTCTGACAGAAAAAAGCTGAACTAATACCAGACACCCTTCCCACCCCCTTGTCCTCATTGTACTCACCTCCAGCGTTGTCAAGCTGTCAGCACCCTGGCAGCCATTTCAACAGTCTGGGAATTTGAAATCCTTGCTCTTCTCCCTCTTCTCTGCGCAGTGCTTTCAGCTTAGATTGTATGATTGGTCCACATTGTCACATTGCATGGGTTGGGGGGTTTCTCTCATATTAGTTAACCTCTACTTTTATTTTGTAAAGGTAAATTAACATTTTAACTGATTAGTGTTGTAGGGAAGATGCAATTGCAGGTGCCGGCTCCTTAAAAACCAGCTGAAATTTCATACATTCCTTAAATCTTGCATGCAAGGACCACTACTTATTTAACCGCTTTCCCGCCACCCTATAGCAGAAATACTACTACAGGGTGGCAGGGCTGTGCCAAATCACTGATATATACGTGATTTAGCATTTCCGGGTAGGGCGTGAGAGCTGTTGATCACAGGGTCCCGACTGGTGATTCCCCGCCGACACCCGTTGATCGCCAAGTGTCACTGACTGAAACAATACAGATCTATCCCCTGTCAGCTCCCCTGACACAGTGAAATAAATACATACACAGCACACAGTAAAACAGCATACAGCACACAGTTAACCCTTTGATAGCCCCAGATGTTAACCCCTTCCTGCCCAGTGCCATTGGTACAGTGTCAGTGCTTTTTATTAGCACTGATCACTGTATTAGTGTCACTGGGGATGTCAGTGACAGTTAGCCAGTTTCCCCCAGTGTCAGAATGCCCACCGAAATTTGATGTTTTAAATTTTACTGGACATGTTTAATAGCAAAAGTCAAAAATATTGTTTTTTTCTCAAAATTGTCAGTCTTTTTTTGTCTATAGCGCAAAAAATAAAAAATGCACAGGCGATCAAATACCACCAAAAGAAAGCTCCATTTGTGGGAAAAAAAGGACATAAATTTCATTTGGGTGCAGCATTGCATGACCAGGCAATTGTCAGTTAAAGTACGCAGTGCCATAAAAATGGTCTGGTCAGGAGGGGGGTAAATCCTGGCAAGTGGTTAATGCATGTATATATTTTTTTTTAATTGACTCTAAACACTGTTTTATGTGGTATTTGCAGAGCAGTTTTGCTTTTTGAGGTAATTACTACATAAAGGAATAGTGGATTGACATTTTCAGTATCGCATGTGATATTTGGGGGAAAATGTGTCACCTGACCCTTTCAAGAATAAGTCAATGGCTTTGTAGGAGACAGCCAATGTCTACAGAGTAAATCCAATGCATGCATGAACATTTCAACCCTATGAAAAAATTGGGTAAAACTAGAAATAAGTTAGTGATATTTGAGTTACTTAAACAAATTCAGAACAGCTTTTGGAAGTGGATGGCTTTACCATTGCAGATAATTATAGAAATGGGTTCCTGGTGTATAGTTACTGTTTTACCTATGAAAAAGATTTATATTTTTTTTCTGGCATACTACAGTTAAGCAATACAACTTGGTCACTGACCTGCCCCCAGTTTACTGATTGGATAATGAAGGAGCACACCCAGGCTAATGAGGTTATAGCCCTGCTTTCTCCTCCTAACAACAGAAATTCCTAGTGTAAGATTGATAGGACTGCAAAATGTAGTAGTACCTGCTCGGCTGACATTGATGCTCCTCAATTTCTGCTGTGTATAGAATCACAGTAAGCTAATATAAAGGTAACTTAGGTTTTTTAATGGTTGTATTTGAGTGGTAAATAATAGCTACCGTATTTTTTGCTCCATAAGACACATCTGATCATAAGACGCACCTAGGTTTTAGAGGAGGAAAACAAGAAAACAAGGAAAATATATTCTGAACAAATGGACTGCAGACATAGTACCGGAAATGACCAGAGACTGCAGAAATAGTACAGGAGATGACCAGAGACTGCGGACATAGTACAGGAGATGACCAGAGACTGCGGACACAGTACAAGAGATGACCAGAGACTGCGGACATAGTACAGGAGATGGCCACAGACTGCGGACATAGTACAGGAGATGACCAGAGACTGCGGACAAAGTACAAGAGATGATCAGAGACTGCGGACATACTATAGGAGATGACCAGAGACTGTGGACACAGTACAGGAGATGACCAGAGACTGCGGACATAGTACAGGAGATGACCAGAGACTGCGGACAAAGTACAAGAGATGACCAGAGACTGCGGACATAGTACAGGAGATGACCAGAGACTGCAGACATAGTACAGGAGATGACCAGAGACTGCAGACATAGTACAGGAGATGACCAGAGACTGCGGACATAGTACAGGAGATGACCAGAGACTGCAGACCTTTGGGGAGCAGAGGAGGGGGGGAGTGGGTACCCGAATTTGACAGGTACCCTCTCCCACTTCTGCTGAGTTGTCCTCCCTCCCCGTCTTCTGGTCCCAGAAGACTGCCGGACCATTCACAAAGCACAGCGCTTCTCACACATTCGCAGTGGGCACCTGGCTGTGAAACCGCAAGCTATCACAGCCAGGAGCCCACACTAAAGATGCTGGCCCTGGGATAGAAGACAGTGAGGACACCGCTAGACTGAGGAACAGGTAGGACCGAGGAGCACAGAAGAGCCCGGTATTCTAACATGGCGGCAGCGGCGTGAATTCCGGGCCGGCCACTCCATATTCGCTCCATAAGACGCACAGACATTTTCCCCCATTTTTTTTATGGAGCGAAAAATACGGTACATTGTACATGGAATTCAGCTTTAACTGTATTTGCATCACAGCATGTTCATGTTCACACCTCTGTATTGGTTGCTAAGCTTTAAAATCAGTCTATACCCACTTGATGC